GTGGTGGGGGGGGATCATCTAGAAAAAGTCTCAGATGATTTAAAAAAAATACAGAACACTATTTAAATGGTTGGTTAAGAAAAATAATCAAATGGTTTCCCGCCCTTTAGTGTGTTACATTTTCAATGTTAAAATAAACATCAGGGTGCCAGTGCAATAAAGAAAGGGGGCACTAAAGAGTGGGATGAAGACCAAGGCAGTTTATCAAAATATTTCCCCCATCCTATGAAGTCTTAAATCAGGAGTAGAGTTCCAATATGAATGAGAGCAGGTGACTGGGAGGATGGCAGGGCTGCAGGAGGTAGGAAGTGATAGAGGGAGCAGGGAAACATACACCAAAGAACAAGAATCCACAATCTGTATTAAGGAAAGAAGATCACTCATTGAAGTCAAGGTTCAGATAGAAGCTATGTATGCAAATAAACCCCCACTATGGGCAGGTTGCTCCATGAGCTCCATTCACACCGGAGTTACTCCACTTTTACGCTAGTGTACAGTTTTACTCCACTTTCACACTGGTGTGACACCACTGATTTCACCGATTATGGTCTGTAAAGCTGGAGTAACTCAGTGGTGAATCAGGCCCTGTAATGCCCATGTTGGTTTCTTGCAGCAGCCTCTGAACCAACTGTCACGGGCCACTGCCAATAGCATAGACGGACCACTGGTCTCATCCAGAATGACAATTCCTGTGGGCCAATAGGAATAGAAATTTGCTGCATCAACCTTAAAGGAACTCCCCATGGAACACCTTCCCTCACTGCTCACTCTTCCCTTGACGTTCATATGCAGACATTTGGGGTGTTCCACTGCTTAACCCAGTAAGGAAAGTCACTGAGGCCGTCTCTACACTGTCACTTTTCTTACAATTTCCCACTACTGCGGCTCTGGTGCCTGCAATGGTGAAATCACTAGTATAGACCAGTCACCAACATAGGTGCTGGAACTAGGAGTGTCTGAGGTGTGGCTGCACCCAGTGGCTGGAAGTGGTTTCCATCCTATACAGTGTTTACAGTTTGGTTCAATGGCTCTCAACACCCCCACTATACAAACTGTTCCAGCTCCCCTGGCCACCAGCATTTTAAAGGATGTGTCATCTAACACAGTGGTTTTCAAACTTTTTTTCTGGCAATCCAGTTGAAGAAAATTATTGATGCCCGTGACCCAATGGAACTGGGGATGAGCGGTGTGGGAGGGGCTCAGGGTTGGGGCAGAGGGTTGGGGAGTGGGAGTGTGGGCTGTGGGGTGGGGCCGGGAATGAGGGGTTCAGAGTGTGGGAGGGGGCTCAGGGCTGGGGCAGAGGGTTGGTGTGTGGGGTTGGGGTGCAGGCTTATCTCAGGTGGCTCCCAGTCAGTGGCGCAGCAGGGGTGCTAAGGTAGGTTTTCAGCCTGTCCTGGCACCATGGACTGTGTTGTGTCCCGGAAGGGGCCAGCAGCGGGTCCGGCTCCTAGGCGGAGGTACACAAGCAGCTCCACGTGGCTCTTGCCCGCAGACACACACACCCCCGCTCCCATTGGCTGGGAACCCCGGAGACCCCGCACCTAGGAGCTGGACCTGCTGCTGGCCACTTCCGGGGCGCAGCACAGTGTCAGAACAGGTAGGAACTAGCCTGCCTTAGCCGGGTAGCACCACCAACGGGACTTTTAATGGCCCGGTCAGTGGTGCTGACCAGAGCCATCTCGACCCAGTGTCTTACATTCCGTGACCCGCGACCCACAGTTTGAAAACCACTGATCTAACACAGCTCAGAGAAGGACTAGACACCATAGCTGTTAAACCATCTGCGCCTTGTCTAAGCTAGTGCTTCCCATGTCACTAAAACTAGTGCAGCAGCACAGTTGATAGTGCAGCAGTAGGAAATTTAAGAAAAAGGTTCATGTAGTTAAGGTCTGGCTGAGTCCTGTAAAGTGCACAATTTTTCAAATATCATCATTTCATTTTTACAGCCACTCCTGGCCCCCAGAAGCTGTCTGGGACTCTGAGCTCCCAATAACTTTGGTACTGTGTGGGGACAGATGTGTCCATGATGGGTGTACGTGCACTGGGCCCACCTACGCCACTAAGCCTGTGGTCTGTGAGGGAGTGGAGGCCAGAATGGAGGAACTGGAGAGGAGTTGCCTTGGTTTTACTACATGCTCTGAGGCAGCCTCCTGCCTTCAACTTATGCAGGGAGGGAAGCAGCCTGGTCTGGTGGACAGAGCACTCAAGAGTAGCCACTGCTGGGAAATTTTCTGTCTCCTGTTTTTCTGTGGAAAATTGGGGGTTTGATTAAACAATTGTTTTTGTGAAAAACTTATCTGCCTTCCATGGAAAATTCCATCTTCTTGTCAAAAAAAAAAAAAAAAAAATTCGAAGACCTTCTGGCTGAGAAGGTTTGGGTTGTGGCTGAGAGGTTTTCAGGATTTTAACTGAAAGTTAAAATTTTCTTCAGAAAATTTTAGTGAAAATGAATTCTTTTCTTTTATGTCAATTTTTTTCTAGAAAAAAATCCTCATTTTTTGACCAGCTCTATTTAAGACCCTGGGGTTTTACCCCTGACTCTGCCATGAAATCACTGTTATACCTTGGGAGAGCTGTTTAACACTCCTATGTCTCAGTATTTCCATCTGTAAAATGGGGATAAGACCCCTAACTCTCAGGGGTGCTGAGGCTGAATTAAACAACAGTTGTAAATGTTTTAAACTCCTCTGGTGGAAGGCACTAGAGAAGTGAGACCTATCTTTGAAGCCTGTGTTTGAACAGCTCAGCACATTAGACCAGTTCCTCATTGCCAGTATGTGTACTTAGCATTAACAGTTCAGGCTTTTGTGACTGGTGCATGAGACTGCCTCTCCCTGGTTTAGTGATGAGTTTCTGTGGTGAGCCCAAGGGATGCGCCTTGCACTCACGAGAGTGGGGCTTGGAAGATCATGAGCTCTACAAATACAAGTGAATGGGAGCTGGTAGACAGTAGCTGGAGCAGCTAAAAGACTAATTAAACTGAGACAGCTGCCCTAAAAGGTTAGGAAGCATAGCCTTAGATGATACTGATTTCACCACAGAAGCTGTTTTTGATCAAACTCTGACAGGTGCTCCTTATGGTAAAACTCCCACCAGCTCTCAGAATGGATCCTCAGGGCTGCTTGCCACTCCCTAATAGGATCTCCCACCAGTTCTCAGAATGAAACTTACGACCTCCACCCTACCCCATGGGAACTATCGCCAGCCTTCCTAACAAAACTACAGGAGAGAGAGAGAGAGACACACACACACACACACACACCCGCCCCGGCTAAGGCTCTGGGTTCACAGATGGGGCTGCACACACCATTCCCTGTGTGATCTATAGTCTGTTAAATAAATCAGCCTCTCGGATGACAGGAATTTAAAGACACAGGGAACAGTTTTCTGGCAGCTGATAATGTTGTTAACTGTGAATCAGTCCCAGTTGCTAAGTAAACCATGGCACATGCCTAGCGACAACAGGCCTGGTGATCACAGGCAGATGCAGCGGATGAAGAGTAGGTCTAACATGCCAGTAACAATACATAATTGACTGCATCCTTTAATGAAAGCAGCACTGATAGGTACAGCATTTACATGAAGGAAACATCCTAGCACATTCCCCTTGCCTCTATCCATAGCAGCTGCTTGGTCCCAAAGAGAAGTCCAACTTACCCATTGTTACCATGGCCACAGCGACGGTGAGCAGAATGAAGGCACAAAAAGTCTTCCCAACACAATTCATGTCAGCTTTTGCTTTCATCGCTCACACAGCTCACTTGCTCCATCCATCCTGCTGTAAGCCCAGCTGCAGACGTGGGGAGCTTCCCTCTGTGACAGTGTGTCCTTGCCAGCCAGTGTCTCTGTTCCCTCTTCCACTTCCCCACCTCTCCTCCACCCCAACTCCGCCTGCTCCTGACTGATTAGCTCCTTGGAGGTGGAGAGGCTCCTTCTTCTGCCTTTTCATGACACTAGGCTTCCTGTGCTGAGAGCCAAAGCGAACATTGAGGAAACAGATTGAGCAGCTCTGCCTTCCGTTCATTGGCTCTCCTCACAGTGCTGATGTGTGAAGATAAACTCCACAGCAGAGCTCAGAATTAAGTAAAAATGAAGCATATTCTTCAAGCCTGGGCTTACTGTCAGAGAGGGAATATTAATTGTGGGGAGTTGGAGCATCCAGTAATAACAGTGCACTCAGCGCTCCACAGACAAGAAAAGTTCAGTCCTTGAAGGGCTTCCATTCTAAAAGACCTTATATACAATGACCTCTTTTAATAATTGCCCGCAGGAGGTGCTCTGTCCCTGTTAGGATCAGGGCCTTAATCCTGCTCTTAAACAATGAGGCCCACTCAGACCTCAGAGGAGAGAATGTGTAGTGAAGGGGGGGAGGGGGAGACTTCTATTTTTTACTTAACTTTGGACACAAGTTCTTTAGCCTTCCCAGCTTGGCAGCTGTCTCCCCCACCAATTTCTGGCCCATCTCCCTGGTTGAAAGATTTTTGTCTTTTTGCTAGGACAATGGCCCCGTTTCTCCTCTTCCTCACTGACCCTTCCAGGTCAGTTTCAGGGTTGGCTACTTCTCTCATAAGCCGACAGCATCTCACATGCAGAACTTTCTGGTCCCACAGAAGTGCCAGGGCTTCTAGCTGGCCAAATGGATAACACAAAATAATTACAATCCAGAATAACAGCCAAAAGGGAGTAACAGTTGTAACTAAAAGCAGACTGAACAGAGAGGTCGGCATGTGTTTTGTTAGGCCCATGACTTTGGACTGTATTTTTTGTGGTTACTTTAACACTTCTTGGCTAGCAGAATCAGGGTTTATAGACCTCCTGGGAAAAGTTGGAGGCCTATTGAAGGGAGGAGAGGCGGAGGCAGGCCAGGGAGTGGGGTCCAGGTGTCAGATTTGCATAGAGAAAAGAGCAGGGAACATAAGAACTGCCATAACAGATCAGTCCATTGGTCCATCTAGTCCACCATCCTGACAGTGTCTGGTACTAACTGCTTCAGAGGAAGATGCAAAAAATCCCATAATGCACAATTATGGATTATCCTAGAGGCAGTTTCTTCCTAATCTTTGCCAGTGAGGGGTAGTTTATACTTGGAAGCATGACAGTTTATCTCACTTATAATTTTTTTTATCCTGCCCAATGTTATTGTGGATGTTCTCAGTACCCATAAAAAGGTCTAGTCCTGAGTCCTTGGCCACAATAATATCATGTGGCAATGAGTTCCATGGGTAAACTATGTTATATTAACAAATGTTTCTTCTTATTAGTTTTAAATGTAATTTAATTGAATGCTCCTTGTTCTAGTAATATGAGAGAAGGTAAATAGAAACACTCAATGTACTTTAACTATACCATTCATTATTTTGTATACACATACCTCTATTATATTCCATCTTGCTCATCTCCTTTGAAGTAAACAGCCCCGGTCTTTCTTCACACATATGTCTCTAGTCATTTTTGCCATCTGCCTCTGTCCCCTTTCTAATTCTGCTGTATCCTCGGGACCAGAACTGAGCACAGTACTGCATAGGAGGACATACCATTGTTTTATAATATTTTCCATTCCATCCCTTCTACATTTAAATATTTTGTTCGCTTTTTAGACCTCCACAGTGCATTGAGCAGAGGTTTTCAATGAGCTTCCCCCACTGCTGTTCAGGTCTATTTCCCGAGTGATTACCGTTAATCTAGAAACCACTAATGCATGTGAGCAGATAACATGATTATCTCAGAGAGTGGGAGAGGGACAGGAAGGGGGTGGTTGATTGGAGACACATTAAGAGACCAGGGTGGAAAGAGAGTTAGGGAAGATCTAAGTTGTACCGAGCCTTGTTCATGAAGGAAAAGGAGCTTGAATTTGATGCAGAAGCCCAGGGAACTTGAAGAGGAGCTAGACATGGACATAGAGGCAGGCAAGGCAGATGATTTTCTGGAAATTCTTTGGGTGGATTGAAGGGTATGGATGAATGTCGTGACCCTGTGGGGAGGGAGTCAAGGGAGGAACCCTTCCGGGTCAACAGCATCTCACCCCAAATTGACATACAGACAGAAACCCTGCTACCCTTGCTTTTACTGTAGGGGTTTATCCAGGACAACCAGGGTTAAACAACTGGATTTGTTTGGCAGGTGGACACTGTTGACCTGCTATTTAGGAGCTATGAAACCTGCTGATCTTTTCTGGGAGAGGCCTGGGAGCTCAGAGATCGGCTAGGGGTTCACAGCAAGAGTGTTAGACCAGAGAGCTCAGAGGCAGTGAGTCTGCTGGGCTTTGGAACTCTTTCTTTTTCTTGTAAAAATAACTGACTGGCGTTTCTGTTGCATCAGAGGAGCTTGGGCTCTTTTACAGAGGTGGTGAGGAGAGCTGTACGTCTGGGAGGCCAGTGAGGAGGAAGGTGTAGAAGTCAAGGTGAGAGAGGATCAGGGCCTGGATAAGTTGGATGGAGGAGGATGGATGGAATTTGGAAATCGTGCAGAGGGGAAAATTGAGAGGATTTATTGACAGCATGAATGTTGGGAAACTGGAAGGGTGGGAGTGGGGAGTTGATTGTGATGCTGAGACAACGCAGAGATTGGAGGAATTGTCAGCTGGGCTAGAGAATGGGGAAGAAGAGGGAAAGGTCTGGCAGGAAATGGGAGGAGTTTGGATTTCATGGGGTTGAACTTGAGCTGGTGGTCTGTGCATTATCCAAGAAGAGTCTGGACAAAGAGCGGGATGGTAGGGTGCTGAGCTGGACCTGAGAGCCCTCTCTGCTAAAGGTAATAACTGAAGCTAGGAGACTGTATGAGGTTACCTCTGGGTAGTGCAGAGGGGAGAAAAGAAGAGGGCCAAGGACTGAGGCCTGAGGGTCACCAACAGAGAACAAAAGGGAGGAGGAAGAGCCCCCAGTGGAGATACTGATGAAGCAGTTGGAGAGGGAGGAAGAACACCAGAGATGACCCTTACTGAAGCCAAGGGAGGAGACAACCTCAGAGAGAGAGGGTAGTGATGATTTCCTCTGACAGCATCTCTTCAGACAACAGTACAGTCCTGACAGCAGTATAATCACATGCACCAAATAGTCCTGAGAGGCCTCAGGGGGCACACATTCTGTGGGGTTGCATGGTTTTACCATAGCACTACAGCAAAGAGTCAACACCAGGATCATTTCTTTGAAATGGAATGTAGACTTGTCACGTTGCCAGTCTCAAGCCAGCTCTTGTCTGTTCTCCTAGCTGAAGTATTGGTTCTCCATTGTGGTTTTTAACGTGGGTTAGTTTAGATCCACTGTCTATTTATTATAGTATCATCAGACATTGTCTGAGAGATGCACAGTCTGTGATCAGCTCCGTTTGAAGTGGTTTTGCTCAGGCTTCAGCCTTTCCTGACAACAGAACTTATCATAATAACTTATTCAATATACAGAGCAGCTGCAGGATTCGGGAAGATACGTTGTAACTATCCAAGTATAGATAAAAAATAAGCTTTTGAGAGTAAAATTACTACTTAATATAGCCTGAATATTGACAGGTGCTTATTTTGTCAGATCCTCAGTTAGTGTAAATTGGCGTCAAGTTCCATTGACTTCTGAGGATCTCGCCTATTGCGTCAACCACAGCATCCGAGAGCCCTGGGCCTTGAGCCCCCCAGTGAGTGATGATGTCTCTAAGTAATCTGGACTTAAATAGATACATGCAAAAAGTCTCATCAGTCAAGGGAGCTGGTCTCTGCACTATTGATATTCTTACTGTCTGCACAGAACACACATGACGTCCCATCAGTGGAATGAATTGTTCTGGACTTTGGCAGGAAGACTGCATTTACAGTCCAGTGCATTGTGCACTACTCACCCTGATACGTCTATTTAAAGAACCTTTAACTTCCCTACAGACACTAATAGAGTTGGAGCATCAAGCTTAATGGGAAATTTCCTGTTTCTTGATGATTTGCCTCAGAGACTTACAATTATTGATAGTTTTTTCCACCTTTGTTGATTTTACTAAATAACTTTTTTTTCATCTTTAAACTCCGCCCCCCCCCAGGTAAAAAATGAGATGAAATTGATAGGTTTGTTGTGTGTGGTCATTTAAGTGAACAAACAAAAGCATTGGATAGAGACATTTTTTGCGGCAGATGCTGTACAAACTTCTTCGACAACAATCCTGACCTGCTGCCCTACAGCTATTCCCGTTCTGGGCTCCCCATACAGCTCTGCCAGTGTTCCTGAATGTTGACCTGCAGCCCCGCTCCCGTTATTCCATCTCTGCGCCTCACACAGCTGTGCCGATGCCCCTCAATCCAGCCCTGCAGCCCCCCTGCTAGTCCAGTCGTAGTCCTTCCAAGAATTCCACCAAAACAGCTTGACTCTAACCTGCAAACCCACCTGACATGTGACTGCGAAGGCAGCTAAAATAATAGACTCCAGCTTCAGCTGTTACCTGCAGCACCCCATAACGGATGTCATACTGTGGTCGTTTCCTATCAGTTCAGTCCCACAAAATAACAACAAACTCTGACCAACCTGCTCCCCTAACAGAGTGATAAAGTGAAACCCGGGGGAGAACGTCACATAGTAAAGGGGTTGGGGCTGTTTCTGAAGCAGCTTCATAGGTGCTCTGTGGTTAGTTGGTATTGTTTATTCCTGGAAACACCCACACACCTGAAAGTCCTGATGAGAATATGGTCTCTTCTGTGACTCCCCCCGGAGGGTAGGAGGGGCAGGGGCAGAGTGCAGCACCCTCACATATCAAAGGCACTTTTATTTCATATCAAAACTGAAATTACTGAGCCCTGACTCGGTGCCGTTAGCTTTTCTTTCCTGTTGCAGGACCAGAATTGTCCTGAACTTGAATCTGCAGGTTTAAAATCCTTCTTGTGGTCTGTATTGTATATAATCATAAATAGACTGAGAATTTCTGCCAGCACTTCAAGGCAGATTTAGAGGAGTGGGTTTATTTGTAAATCTATTTGGAAACTCCTCTCCCCCGCTGTAGGATCTGACCCAGTGTCTCTTACAATCCTTCTGCCTCCAGAATGAAATACCTGCTTTCTCAAAGATTTATAGGGGCAAATCCTCAGTGGATTTCAG